ATCTAACAGATGTAATGTTCTTACAGGCTTTTCTGGATATAAACTTCATTTTTTGAGCAGTTTTAAAGTCTAAATAGTTATTTTTGCCACAATAGACTTTATTTAAAGGATGTTCTTTTTGTTCCTTCTTGCCTACCCGTTCTCATGGATCTCTTTCTCCTCTACAAGTTGAAGGAGGGAAGCGTCTCTTGAGACTTCTTGGGCCACATTCTAGAAAGAACTACTGTGTGTGACTAGAGGTGTGTTTCCTTTTTGAGGTCATGGAGGTGTTGCTTTTATAGAACTATTGTTATTATTGTTATTGTCATTTTTTTGCTGAGGAAGATTTGCCTGGAGCTAACATCTGTTGCCAATCTTCCTCTGTTCTATGTGGGATGCTGCCACAGCATGGCTGATGAATGGTGTAGATCTGTGCCCAGGACCCAAACCTGCGAACCCAGGCTGCCACTGAAGCACAGCGTGCCAAACTTAACCACTATGCCATAGGGCTGGCTCCCAGAACTATTATTTATTGTAGTTATTTCAATAAACCAAATTGCAAATATAATTAAAAACTCCAGCTCTACCTCTGACTTTTGACCTTGGCCAAATATTTTGAGCTCTTTGAGCCCAGTTTCTTCAGTTGAACAACACAGATCAAATGGTTTCTAAGGCCGTTGTCCCTGTTTGTGTTACTTATAAAAATCTCTTTATTCAGGTGTGCAGAGCTGGAATCAGTGTGCAGGTCTCAGTTCTCAACAGCAGAGGGCACAATCCTCCTAGTCTGCCAGGCCATTAGGTATTGGACACTGTCTACAGTTATGTAGCCGGAAGTTGATATCCTTGGTGATAGGAAGGGGCCAAGAAAATTCTGTAAATTAATATTTTGCAAAGGAGATTTCACTTCCTATTTCCAAGTGTTTAATATTTAGGTGAAACACTCAAAAAATAGGAGATTTTGACATTCTAAGGGTACTGTAATTCTGTGAAGCTCTTCATCATCTCTCCACCTCGTTTACCCCTTCTGAGTACTCCGTGATTAGCATTGGTGTGCAAATGAGTTGGAGAGGAGAACTAACATTTATCAAGCACTTATGATGTATCAGGCTCTATGCCTGGTACTTTAGGTACATTTTCTCTAATCCTCACAGCAATACTTTGAATTATATCTTTTCATCCTTATTTCATATAGGAAGACATCGAATCTCCGAGAGGTTAAGTAACTTGCCTCAGGCCAGTGACGGTAGAGATTCAAGTTCAGATCTGTTAACTCTCAAACCTGCTTTCTTTCTACCCTACCGGGGTTCCTTCATCTTTCCCCTAATCTAAACAATTAGAGATGATCACCAGGAGCAGGAGTGCCCTGAGAGTGGCCATGCAAGGAAGTTTGGCTTTCTCCAGTTCTGAAGTTCTTGTGGCCCTTGTTGTTCCAGATGGAGGCTTTTCCTCTGGCAAGAATTTTTTACCATTTATGTTTAACATAATACATATAAACATATACTCATGTTTTCAAATTTGAAAGCTTTTGACTGGATTATTGGAATGTGTTTCTTTGTGAGCTGCTTTTAAACAGTACAGCAGTATCTCATTTTACAAGAAGGCTGGGTTCTGAAGTCAGTGGGCAGGGTAAAAATCACCTTGGCAGAATTCTCTTTGAGAATCCCATGGGAAGGCGTCTTGTTAGAGAACCGTGTGCTTCCTTTTTTTAAGTCCAGCGCAGCCGGTCTTTCCTCCCTTGTTGCAACAAATCATAGTTTTTCCTGTTGAGCTTCAAATGATGCAGTTGGCTTGTATTTGGGGGCCACGTTGGTGGTAATTCACATCTTTTAACCCCAGAGTCTCACTCAGCATGGTGAGATGCTTCCAGTTATTAGAGGTATTCTGAAACCTAGATCAAGAGAAGGAATAGCAGATTCATGTCTTATTTTGGGGCTTATGCTAACTCATTGTTTCTCAAAACTTTAGAATCACCTGGAGGGCTTGTTAAAACACAAATTACTGAGTTCTTCCCCCACAGTTTCTGACTCAGTAGTTTGGGATTCAGCCAGAGAGTTTACATTTCTAACAGGTCCCTTGGGGATGCCCTCTTCCAGGAACCTCACATGGAGAACCACCGTACTTATTGAATGGAAGCAGGCAGAATCACTTGCCTATCTTCTCTTTATTGTTCGTCTCTCCTGCTTTTATTTTTAGGCTGAGTGGGTATAGTTGAATTAGTTTAAGTTAAATGTAAAGGTTGTGGCTCAGCTAACTCTTTATCCTGTTGCTTAGCTTACTACTTGGCCCAGAAAAAGTAGTTGGCCTTTTAATAGACACTCGTTGAATGAGTGATTGAGTGAATTAATATATATAATGGGGAAGACTTTTAGTACATGGACATTATTATTATATACCTGCTCCATACAAACTGCTTATTTTCCAGAAAGGTAGGCGGTATTTGGATTAGAGTAGCTTACATTTTAGGGCTATGTATGGTGGTGATCATAGACATCAGGAAGTATGCAGGTAGATGCAGTTTTGAGAAGCTTGCATTTTGGTATCTGTGGTATGAATGTGAAGTGTGTGTGTAGATGGAGCTGGGTATGGGAAGTCCCATCTGTTTTAGAATGACCTAGGGAACTCTTGCAGGGTCTGGTTTAGGTCAGAACCAACTCCTGCCCCAGGGAGGCTGGAGCAGCACTGGATCAACCTGTGTCTACATTCTCACTCCTGTCCCTCCAAAGACTGGGGAATTCAGCCCCCAGGAACTCTATAACTCTGTAAATTCAGATAGTTGTACATGAATCTTACCATGTTATAGGATTTGATAATTATAGTTTAGATGATGAGTTTATTAAGTAAAGGGCAAAAACAATCTCAAAAAATATTTAAAGTTCAATTTAAGCTTAAAATTATTGTCATTTTAATCTTTTTTTAACATGTTTTATATAAGCTGCTTTGCAAAGTCTGGGTCCTGTGTGTTTTGTCTCTTTCAGGATAGATTAAATTTTATTCCTTTAAATTTGTTTTACTTTTTTATGCTGAAGAATTTTTTTTGGGGAAGGTTAGCCCTGAGCTAACATCTGCCGCCAATCCCGCTCTTTTTGCTGAGGAAGCCTGGCCCTGAGCTAACATCTGTGCCCATCTTCCTCTCCTTTATATGTAGGACGCTTGCCACAGCATGGCTTGCCAAGCAGTGTGTAGGTCCACACCTGGGATCCGAACTGACAAACCTGGGGCTGCCAAAGCAGAATGTGCGAATTTAACCGCTGCGCCACCGGGCTGGCCCCTATGCTGAAGCATTTTTGAGTAAACTACGGACAGCATGTTAGGCTATCTCTAAATCCTTCATTGTACAGCTGTAATAAATAAAAGCATTTTCTTATCTAGCCAGAATAATATGATCATTCCTAACAAAATTAAGTCCTTAATATCATCTAATCCATATTCAAATTAGCCTAATTGTCCCTAAATTCTCATTTAGATATTGTTTATTCAAGCCAGGATACAATGTGGAATCATGCATTACATCTGGTTATTATGTTCCTTAAAATTTATTTAATCTAAAACAGTCTTCTTTTCATGACATTGCCTTGCAGTTACAAGTCATTGTCTTGTAAAATGTCCCACCTTTGGATTTGTCTGACTGCCTCTTCTGAGTGTCTTCAGCTTGTTCTTCTACCCTGTGTATTTACTGGAAACTGGAAATTAGATCTAAAGGCTGGACTAAGATATAAGTTGAACATTTTTGGCAAGAAGATATCATAGGTGATATGTGCTTCATGTTGTACCACATGAGGAAATACATAATCCCTGCCTGCCCCACTGTTAGTGATGCTAACTTTGATCCTTAGACTAAGATGATGACAGCCTGATCCTTCCATTGTAAAGTTACATTTTCCCCTTGTGACGAAAGAGTATTCTCTGTGGTATTACTTTGGCACTAATATGAATGTTTATTTCTCTGTCATCCATTCGCCTACTTCTTTTAACACCATTTAGTAATTCTTGCCTGAATCAGTAACTTCTTTAGAGTTTGCAAAACTATCATTTTTTTAAGTCTGTCATTTCTTCTACATTAGCTAACATTTGATTAAATAGAGCTCTTTTTTATCAGCTGGGACTATTTGGTACCCTGAAATACACTTCTGGTGGAAAAGCAGGTTAAATGTTGAATTCTTTACTTTTTTATTCCCAGTTTCAAAGTAGGGAGTTGGTTTAATAGACAAGTTAAATGGTGGCAAATGAATAGTTTTCTTGCTTTCTCTTTTTTGATATCCTTATGGACTAATGGATTTTCATGAATTGAATGTTTCAGTCAACTACAGACATTATTCTTTTGTGTTCAGTTTGTTTTATGTTCAGTTTATCAACCCTTTAGCCAATGATAGTCCCTTGTAGTTGGCTTCTATGTCCATTAGATATAACTCCACTAATTTTTCAGAACTTCCTTGCTTTGTTGTATAGATGGATGCATAGGTTTATCTTGTAGATTCCTTGTCCCAACTGTCAGTCAGCCACTTCACTAACAAGCCCTAGTTCCTTTTAGTGGGGCATGGTATTAGACACCAAAATCCTGGCACTTGGAATGTCAATTGTTAGTGGGGTGACAGTGTTACTAGATCTTTTCAGTCGTCTGTTTAGTTCTTGAATTTTGATATTGAAGGTTTGGATAATGAAAATTCAGATAGGAAGGAATCTGTATTTTAAAAAATACTGAGTTTGTATCACTATTTCCAGTTGAGTTTTAACATTATTGTGTTTTTAAGTGGTTACTTGATTTTATAACTGTATCTTTGTTCTTACACTGAAAATCTTGACTGCCAGTAGCATTTCTTTATCTTACAATAAAGAAAATAATTTCAAAATAAGAGTATCAATATTACTACTGCTAATAAAACTAAATGAAGTTTAAAATTTTTATGATTATTTTTGTACCATAGGTTAATTTTAATGGAAGAATAAATTTAATTACTTTTATGTTGATCTCATTTAATTACTTTCCTTTGTAATATATCTTGTCTCTTTTGCTTTTATCGTAGGTTGATCATTTTGGATTTAATACTGATAAAACTTTTAAGCAGCGGTACCTAATAGCTGATAAACACTGGAAGAAAGATGGTGGGTCAATACTTTTCTACACTGGTAATGAAGGGGACATTACCTGGTTTTGCAATAATACGGTATGTACAGATTTGTGAAGTTCCTGTGCTCAATTTGACTTTTATTATGATAAACTGGGAAAAATGTTTTGCAGTATACATGACCAGTATTACTGTACTTAATTGTGAGGTTCTTTAAAAAGTAACGAAAAGATAAACTCGCTAATAATGGAAAAACAGCAAAAGTACATAAATAGGCAATTCACAAAAGAATCAATATAGATGCCCAGTAAACTTGCCTGTTCAGGCTTAAAGACACATGAAAAGAGTGAAATACTGTTTTTGGACAATTGAATTTTAAAAGATTTTAAAATCCCAGCTTATTTCTAGAGTGAACAAGATATGAGGGAAATGGGCATAGGAATGTTATTGCCTATAATTTTTTTTATTATTATTATGGCCTCTAGAATGGTCTCTAAACACAAGGGCAGGAATTTTTGTATGTTTGTTCAGTGTTGTATTCTCAGAGTACAGGACTGTGCTGGGCATATAGTAGGTGCTCAGTGAGTATTTGTTGATAAAACCTAAATGAAGGCAATGTAAATAAAAAAGCAAGACTGATTGTCAAATAGGAATGGACAAAGGTAAAGTTGGAGCTGTGTTTTAATTTAGCTTACCTGTTCTACCATTTTTCTTTTATTTGTGAGGGTAAAAAAATAGCATAGCTTTCAGCTTGCTTGCCTGCCTATATTTTCTATCATCTTTTGTAATAATACTTAAATCCATTAACAAAACTTAGTTTAGAAAGACACCTGAAAGGAAGAAATTTTTCCATTTTAATATGTCAGAGCTATGGCTGGAAAATCAACCAAAAAGCTAGTCTGTGAATGACCCTAAAGTGGAGACTGAATCATATTTTCTCTACTGCCAATGTCTGGCGTGGTGCCTGGGATTCAGGAGGTCTCAGCAAAGGTTTGTTAAACTGAACTGAATTGAAAGCAAAAATATGAACCCAATTATAGTGTGTTATTGACTTCCACATTTCTGATTATTTCCTTAGGAATGTTAAGAGTCTAAATATATTAGTTGAAAATAATTCCCTGAGAAATGATATCCCAAGATCTCTGTTTCTCTTAGATCAATGACAAATGAAACCAGGACTTATTTTCCATCAGATTCTTGCTCTGTTATTCTGGGAAACAACTGAGGCTGCCTTGTCTCCCTTTTCCTTTCTTGTGTGACTTTTCTTTTATGCCAAGGGCATAGGGCAGCTTCTGTCCAGTTATTTTCTCAGCTCCTGTTCTTTATTATAGGCAGGCAGCTTCCTCCACCAGACCCTGCTGCTTTGACAGGCACTGCAGCATACTGAAGACTTGTGGGGGAATCTCTGACCTCAGGAGTGGTAGGAAGGAAGAGCTACTCAGTGTAGGAAAGGTCCAGAGAACTTGCTAGAGGCAGATCCTACAAGGACAGGTCTTGACATTTTCCCAACCCTAGACACCTTCCTTTACATACTAAAATGTTCCGGTTGTATATTCACATGTTCTGGATGTTCATTCATTAAGAGGCAGTATAGTATAGTAGTCAAGAGTGAAGACTTCAGACAGGCTGATAAGGTTTGAATTCTGGTTTACCACTATGCTGTGTTACTTTGGGCAAGTTTCTTATTCTGTGCCTTAGTTTTCTCATCTGTTAAATGAGTATAGTAATAATATCTAGTACATAGAGTTGTTGTGAGGACTAAATAAGAATGAGGAACTTAGAACAATGCTGGTACAATAATGTTATTAAATGTTATTATATTCTATGGACCCTTTTGAAAAATACCCCTGAAATAGATGCAGGCAAATAATTATTTATTACAATGTGAATCAGTTTAATTAAAATGGTACATCTCAAACCCTGAGGTAAACCACAGAAGTCTGGCTATTTTGATGGATGGTCCTTACCCTTAAAAAGCTCATATTCTGGTAGGCTAAGACACATGTGTAAACAAATATTGCAGCACAGTAATAGAGATCTATACCTAGCACAGTGGTGTTGAGAGGTAGGAGTGATTGGCACTGCCAAGGTGGGACAGGTAGAGGGCTTGCTTGAGCTGCGTGTTACAGGATCTGTAGATAAATGGCAGGGAATGAGCAAGGTGTTAAGAGAGAAAGTGGGGTTTATTGAAACCATCACAGATATCAGGTTAAAGTCTCCATCCTCACATGCATACAGCTCTTAATTGTTCGTTTATTTAATCAAAACAAACAAAAATTTTCAGATGTTCATTGTCCTTGTTAGGGAGGAGCAGCTCATTAAAAAGCAACAGTACATGGGGCTGGCCTGGTGGCGCAGCGGTTAAGTTCACACATTCCGCTTCTTGGTGGCCCAGGGTTCGCCGATTCAGATCTTGGGTGTGGACATGGCACCACTAGGCAAAAGCCATGCTGTGGTAGGCGTCCCACATATAAAGTAGAGGAAGATGGGCCTGGATGTTAGCTCAGGGCCAGTCTTCTTCAGCAAAAAGAGGAGGATTGGCAGTAGTTAGCTCAGGGCTAATCTTCCTCAAAAAGAAAAAGCAACAGTACACTAGGAATGTCAGTTTTAATCTGTGCTAAATCTAAATCTGATTGATGTTGGCTACGTGGAATGCTTTGTTGAGAAGCATTCTGAGGGCACAACTGAGGTGAGTGAAAAAATGAGGCAATTGATGAGCAGCCTTAGGTGTGGGAGTAAGGGGATCTAACAGCACCTGAAGATTGTGCTCTGGAGCCAGAGAGCCTGTGTTTGAATCTTGGTGCTACCACTTTCTAACTGTGTGACTGTCACGGGTTATTTATACTCTTGTGCTTCAGTGTCCTTGCCTGTAAAATGGGGATAATCAAAGTGCCTATCTCTTAGATTGTCATGATAATTAAGTGAATTAATCCATGTAAAGTGTTTAGAACAATGCCTGACATTGTAAATACTCAATTAATATTAGCTGTTGTTAGCTACTATTTATTTTCAAGTAAATAAGATTAATATAAAACCCAAGGGAGAGTCCGGTATGCTTATTTGTACTATTTTCTCTTTTATGTTGTAAATACCTATGAGTAGGTGTCCAACTTAGATATCATTGGCTCTTTCCTAGAATATTTGGTACATAGTACAATTTGAAGACTATTTAGACATAATGTTGATTCTAGGACTAGAGTGTCAATACAAAGAGTTGGAATGACTAGTGGATGGGCAGCTTGAGCTTATTTTTAGCTGTTTCACTCTAATACAGTGTGAGATTGATGTATAACAATGAAACAGCCATTATATCGTTTATCTGTAGAACAAATATAAATTGTGCAGCTCCTCAGAGAGCTCTTTGGTCTGTTTTAACATCCATTTCATATGAATTGTAAAAAGGTTTGATGACTTTTTTCACATCCTAATTTTATCCTGTGAATGAATCCTTTTCTTCCAAGGGGTTCATGTGGGATATGGCTGAGGAACTGAAAGCTATGTTGGTGTTTGCTGAACATCGATACTATGGAGAGTCCCTACCCTTTGGTGCCAACTCATTCAAGGTAAATATACTTTTTACTTTTAAGTTTAAAAGTTTTTTTTTTTTAAGTTTAGAGCATTTTCTAATTACGTGTTCCACTGTGAGAAAGGAATGATAGCTTTAACTTGAACTGCCTGAAATTTCAATAATTTGTATTTAATCTTTCCTTTTATATACGACTTGAACAGACTGAAGCTTTTAAAAACCATATTATTATAATTTCTAATGTTAATCCATTTTTAATTCAGTGTGATAAGGCTGAAGAAGGTGGAGGGGACTTTTCATTGTTTCAGAAATGTCAGTAAACAATTCTGTTTTATAAATTATACGCTTAAATTATTGGGTCTAACACTGGAAAAAATATAATGAACACACAAATGTTTGTTTAATAAGGTGTTTTTCAATAAAATACGATGATCAAAATGAGGACGCATAATCTCTATGATTCAGTGAGGCCAGCTGGCCACTTGGATTTCCCTCTGGCCTTTCCTGTTCTCACAAGGAGCTTTGGCCTTGACCACAGACTCTACGTTGATAAACCAGGACACTTTTTCCTAAACTGACTCACTCATGTGCTTCCCTTGTGATTCTGGCTGTATGGATTTGCTATCTGTACTATTATTTACTTAATATTTTTCTCTAAACAGCTCACTTTTCAAACAGCATTATCTTAACAAGGGCTTTATGTACTAGTTAATTTTTCTAAATTACATTAAAATAAAACAATAAGTATTAAATTCAAAAATGTTTGTGCACTACCTAAGATCGTCATACGCATCACCATCATACACGCCATGCTTTTGGGTAACTTTGAGTTAGAAGAACTTGGGATCAGTCGTTTTCTAGGCTGCCTGTTTAGGAAGGAGTTTTTACTTTTGTTCTCAGAGGTTTTATTATCTCATCTTATAAATAAATAAAATAAATTTAAAAGTCCATGTGTTCTAAATGAAAAGCAACACAATTTGCGGATATTTATTGGGCTGCATGGGAAACTATTCTTTAGCTTTTTCTTTTTCATAATTTTCTGATTAGAGGAGTTGACAGAGCCTAAAACCACTGGTAAGCAGTCAGCTTGTTGCAGATAGAAACCTAATCTCTTCTAGGTCCCTGTGGTTCATACTTTGTTAGCAAAATAGATCTAAGGGCTCTCTTTGATATGCTTTTTTTCTTTCATGTGCTCACAAAATTTGTCAGTAGTATAAGGGATATTACAAATATTATGTGAGGAATAGAAATAAACTTGCATTCAACTACACATAGTGCCATGAAAACTAGAAGTAAAGAGTAGTGACAGGAGCTAGGAAGTCAGAAAGCATACATCTTGGATAAAGGGAAGGCTAAAAGATTAGATGACATACATAGGAAAGGTGGGAACTATGTGATTCTGGAATGTGCCACACGATAGAAGGAGTGAGACCAAAGCGTGAGGATCAAACAGGATAGCCTAATATAGGTATGTGGCTATATTAGTTATCTGTTGCTTCGTCACAATTATACCTCAAACCTTGGTGGCTTAAAATGACAATAACATTATCCCACAATTCCTGTGGGTAAAGAATTAAGAGTGGCTCAGCTAGGTGGTTCTGTTTTAGGGGTCTCATGAGGTTAAGGTGTTAGCTGGTGCTGCAGTCATCTAAAGGCTTGACTGGGGCTGGAGGATCCACAAGAGTGACAAACTGGTGCTGGGTGTTGGCAAGAGGCTTCACTTTGTCTCCTCCTGGGCTTCTCCAAAAGCCTGCTTGTGTGGCCTCATGACATGGTGGCTGAATTCCCTCCAAGTTGGCAAGCCAAGAGAGCAAGGTGGAAACTGCAGTGTTTTTTATGACCTAACATTGAAAGTCACTATCATCACTTTTGCCACATTCTGTTCTTTAGAACCAAGTCACTAAGTCCAGTCCAAGTTCAAAGGGAGAGGAATTAGGCTTCACCTTTTAAAGGGAGACACTTCATTAGCCTCCTCAACTCAGCAGGACTCTGTTTGAGCTCCAGCTTCCTACATTGCAAGAAGGAAACTCTCCCTAGGCGGAGAGCTAAATGATCATGGAACTTACTTCAGGGATCAATGTCTTGTGTTGCCTGTTTTCCAATCCCTGGAAATAGTAGTTGCATAGGTTTTTTTTTTTTTTTTTAAATTCCAATTCTATAGTTATTTACAACAGGCATGCTAATTTGTTCCAGTTGTTGGTATATCAGGCATAATAATAATCTTTCTGATGAGGAAGGATGAATTTTATTTTTACTGAGGATTCTTACTTCAATTTTCCACAGGATTTAGTTTACCTTTGCCCATATGGTAGCCATTTTAAATGTGTCAAGATCTGAAATAAAAGTTCTAATATAGTAGTTGTCTCTTAAGCTTAGTATTGTATATCATCACATTTGCTGTTAAATATTGCTTACTTTGTTTCTGCTCTTTCTATAACCTCAACAAGGTCTTTGGTAAATAGCGTTTAATAGAAATTACATTTGAATGCAAAATACATTATGTTCTTCCCACAAACTTAAAATCGCTTTTTCTTGAGTGGTTTAAATCAGCATTGCTATTTCTCTGATCTGGCATTTTAACTCAATTGCCTAGAAATTCTATTTGGAGAAGAGCTTATCTGACTCTGGCTTTTTTCAGGATCTGTGCTATGCCTAAGCTGCTGTTATGTGCACATTTATATCCATGTTCTTTGTTATTTTTCTTTAGGATTCCACACACTTGAATTTTCTGACATCAGAACAAGCTCTGGCCGATTTTGCAAAGTTAATCAAACACTTGAAAAGAACAGTCCCAGGAGCTAAAAATCAACCTGTCATTGCCCTAGGGGGCTCTTACGGTGGCATGCTTGCAGCCTGGTTCAGGATGAAATATCCTCATATGGTGGTTGGGTAAATGCATTTATGTTTGACATGAACACTTCTTAATGATTGTCAAGGCAAATCTAGAGATTTGTTTTGGGTAAAACGTTCCATTCTATTGTACTGAGATTTCTAGTTTCTATCTCATTGAGTTCCATTATTTTTCTTACCATTTTTGTTCAGTATCAGTTTCAATTTTAGAACGTTAATTCATTGAGTTACATTTTTTTCTTTTTTTCCTTCTTTGTTTTTCTTACTGTTTAGAGCTCTTGCATCCTCTGCCCCCATCTGGCAGTTTGAGGATTTGGTACCTTGTGGTGTATTTATGGAGATTGTAACTGCAGATTTTAGGAAAAGTGGCCCAAATTGTTCAGAGAGCATCCGCAGGTCCTGGGATGCCATTAGACGACTCACAAGTACGGGTAAGCTTTAAATAAAACAATAGAATCATGGATTTTTTAATCTTTCACTTGTTAAATTCAACACTTCCCACTTCTTTAGTAAACTTTTTATTTAAGTATAACATACAGAAAGGCACACAAATTAAAGTACATAGCTTGATGAACTTTCACAAAGGAAATATGTTGCGTAATCAGCATTCAGATCAAGAAATCCTCTTGTGCCCTTCCCAGTCACTACCTCTGCACCTCCCGGGCTAATCATTCTCCTAATTTCTAGAATCATAGATTAATTTTGCTCTTGAATTTTTTAGTAATTGGAATTGCATACTGTGTATTTTTTTGTCTACTGTCTTTTGCTCAATGCTGTGTTTGTTGGCTGCATCCATTTGTTTTATTTAGCTGTAGTTTATGCATTCTCATTGCTCTATAGTGTTCCATTTGTTTGTTTATTTATTCTAATGTTATCTTTAAAGGGGGAATAATTCTGGTAAGCTCCACGAGGATAGGCAACTTGTCTATTATGGGATTATCCAGTTGCTCTAAAAATATTTTGTTGAATGTTGAAAAAGTATTCTTGAAGATATGGTAGAAGGTTGAGTTTTCTAAAATACCAAGTGAAGAATAAATTATCTGCAAAGCCTTCTGTTGAGTAGTGCCTTTTATATTCTAACAATGTGATTCTTTTCTCAGGCCCTGGCTTGCATTGGCTTTCTGAAGCCCTTCGCTTATGCAGCCCATTAACAAATTCTCAGGATGTCGAGCACTTGAAAGACTGGATCACTGAAACCTGGGTAAATCTGGCAATGGTGGACTACCCTTACGAGTCTAACTTTTTACAGCCTTTGCCTGCTTGGCCGATCAAGGTAAGAGGAAAATGTCCTTTCATTACTTTTAATAACGTATTTCTCATTTTTGTGTGTGTATTCTCTGACTTTCAGCATCAGAGGAAGTCCCAGTGACATAAGGGCTCTGGAGTTAGTCAGTCTTGGCTGGAATCCTGGCTTCTGTCACTTTCTGGTTCCTCAACCTTGGGCATGTTACTTAATTGTTCTGAACCTCAGTTTCCTCATTTGAATAATGGAGATAAAATGTGTAGGTTACAGAGTTATATGAATTAGAAATAAAACCAGTAGTTGCTGTTAATGGAATAATTACTCTGTACCAAGTCCTGTACTGTACACTTTGCATACACAAGTTATTTAATCTTTGTGATATATATAAGACACATAGAGCTATGTAATACACGGTCAATGCTTAATAAGTGGCAACTGTATTTAGTCAACTGCTAACACATTCTAAGTGCTACACACATCATAAATGGGTGATCCCCATGCAGCAAGGTGGAGTGGAAAGAGCACTGACTTGCATCCTGAAGGCGAAGGTCTGATCCAGAACTACCATTTACTAGATGTGCAATCTTGAGCAAGGCACTCTTCTTCCCCAAGCCTCCACATCTTCCTCTGCAGAACGAGATAACGATACGTACGTACTTGATAGGGTTTATTTTCTGAGGATCAAATAAAATATTGGAAGTGAAAACACTCTGGAAAGTGTAAAGACACATTACACCATAAATTTTAGGGTTCTTTTCATGCCAAAATTGTTTATTGTGTAGGCTCTTGTTAAGCATTCCTTTGTAAAGACCAGTCCTCTTAATTTTAAAAACAAAGGCTGGCCAACCAATCAGGCAAGAAAAAGGAATAAAAGGAATCCAAATAGGGAGGGAAGAAGTGAAACTCTCGCTGTTTGCAGAGGACATGATCTTATATATAGAAAACCCCAAAGAATCCATTGGAAAACTGTTAGAAGTAATCAACAACTACAGCAAAGTTGCAGGGTATAAAATCAATTTGCATAAATCAGTAGCATTTGTATACTCCAGTAATGAACCAACAGAAAAAGAACTCAAGAATACAATACCATTCACAATCGCAACAAAAAGAATAAAATACCTTGGGGTAAATTTAACTAAGGAAGTGAAGGACCTATATAATGAAAATTACAAGGCCTTTCTGAGAGAATTGGATGACGACATAAGGAGATGGAAAGACATTCCATGTACATGGATTGGAAGAATAAACATAGTTAAAATGTCCGTTCTACCTAAAGCAATCTACAGATTCAACGCCATCCCAATCAGAATCCCAATGACATTCTTTACAGAATTAGAACAAAGAATCCTAAAATTCATATGGGGCAACAAAAGACCCCGAATTTCTAAAGCAATCCTGAGAAAAAAGAACAAAACGGGAGGCATCACAATCCCTGACTTCAAAACGTACTACAAAGCTACAGTAATCAAAACAGCATGGTACTGGTACAAAAACAGGTGCACAGATCAATGGAACAGAATTGAAAGCCCAGAAATAAAACCACCCATCTATGGACAGCTTATCTTTGACAAAGGAGCTGAGGGCATACAATGGAGAAAAAAAGGTCTTTTCAACAAATGGTGCTGGGAAAACTGGAAAGCCACATGTAAAAGAATGAAAATTGACCATTCTTTTTCACCATTCACCAAAATAAACTCAAAATGGATTAAAGATCTAAAGGTGAGACCTGAAACCATAAGGCTTCTGGAAGAAAACGTAGGCAGTACACTCTTTGACATCAGTAGTAAAAGGATCTTTTCGGACACCATGCCTTCTCAGAGAAGGGAAACAATAGAAAGAATAAACAAATGGGACTTCATCAGATTAAAGAGCTTCTTCAAGGCAAATGAAAACAGGATTGAAACAAAAAAACAATCCACTAACTGGGAAAAAATATTTGCAAGTCATATATCTGACAAAGGCTTAATATCCATAATATATAAAGAACTCTCGCAACTCAACAACAAAACATCAAACAACCCAATCAAAAAATGGGCTGGAGACATGAACAGACATTTCTCCAGAGAAGATATACTGATGGCCAATAGGCACATGAAAAGATGCTCATCATCGCTGATCATCAGGGAAATGCAAATCAAAACTACACTAAGATATCACCTTACACCCGTTAGAATGACAAAAATATCTGAAACTAATAGCAACAAATGTTGGAGAAGTTGCGGAGAAAAAGGAACCCTCATACACTGCTGGTGGGAATGCAAACTGGTGCAGCCACTATGGAAAACAGTATGGAGATTCCTCAAAAAATTAAAAATAGAACTACCATACGATCCAGCCATCCCACTACTGGGTATTTATCCAAAGAGCTTGAAGTCAGCAATCCCAAAAGTCCTGTGCACCCCAATGTTCATTGCAGCACTGTTTACAATAGCCAAGACGTGGAAGCAACCTAAGTGTCCAGCAACAGACGAATGGATAAAGAAGATGTGGTACATATATACAATGGAATACTACTCAGCTGCAAAACAGAACAAAATCATTCCATTTGCAATAACATGGATGGACCTTGAGAGAATTATGTTAAGTGAAATAAGCCAGCGAGAGAAAGATAATCTGTGTATGACTCCACTCATATGAGGAATTTAAAATTATGGACTAAGAACAGTTTAGTGGATACCAGGGGAAAGGTGGGGTGGGGGTGGGCACAAAGGGTGAAGTGGTGCACCTACAACATGACTGACAAACATTAATGTACAATTGAAATTTCACAAGATTGTAACCTATCAATAACTCAATTAAAAAAAAAACACAAAGGCTGGCCAACTTGAAGGTAATTAAGTTTAGAGAATAAAACTGACTTTACAACTAGAATGAGTGCTGGAAATATAAATAGAATTGGTAATGAGAAGTAGCTTTCAAAAGTACTTTTAATGTAGCTGTCCTTTTGAACCATTAAATGCACACCTTGCTTAAAACTCTGTAACCCAAATGGAACAAGGTCATTTGCTATTAGAGATGTTTTTCTGCATCCAAAAAGTAGAATGACTAGTGGGTGTCTTGCACATAGCAGGCCAAAGGTAAATGTGTATTTAATTAAATTGAATTTTGACAACACGAAGTTATTTAAAAGAGTGGCTGTCTTTCATGGAAAGAAAACCTGGATCAAAATAGTGAGAAAAAAGTAAATCAAAACCAGTTACTCTCCATAAATGTCCATGTGCTAATAACGCATTATCCTTCTATATTATTTTGCTATTTCCAAAGCACTTTCATATACACTATCTCATTTAATCCTCACAAAAATACTGTGGGAAAAAGAGGTATAATCCTAGTTTTATGGAGAGGATATTGAAGCTCCACTAATAGGTGGCAGAAGTGGGATTTGAACTTAGGTCTGCCATTGTTAAGAGAATTATGATCTTCTGCCACACTGTCCTGGATTAGGAGAAGACTTGATTGAAGGTTTGGGTGGATTCCTAGCCACAGTGTGATAGTTACCAGATTTAATGGTACTCTGTGTACAAAGTGAGAATTACCTTTGCATCTTTGTGCCCATTTGAAGAACAAATGACTCGTCAGGTGATAAAAACATACAGGGAACTCCCCTGTTATTTAGAAGAGGGGTTGGCAGAGTATCTGTAAAGGACTAAAGGGTAAAGATTTTAGGCTTTGTGGGCTGTCCAGTTTGTGTCACAGTTACTCAGCTCTGCAGCTATAGCAAGAAGGTTGCCATAGACAATATATAAATGAATGAGGATGACTGTATTCCAGTAATGCTTTATTTATAAAACAGGCAGTAGGCTGGATTTGGCCTGGGGGCTGTAGTTTGCCAACCCCCTGATTTAGAAAAAAAGCCAGAGGAATACAGCTTAATGTTGTTTTGTTTATGATTTTGAACAGTGAACAGTCTAACTTTGGTTTTCTCCCACTTCTTTAACGTTCCTTTTGAGATAGTTTGTGGTTGAGTCTTAAATGTAAATAAATATTCTGCCCTTTCTCTCTCCTAAATAAACAGTCAAAACCAATGGAGTATATCTCAAACATTTTGTCATCTGTTTTGATTTAGTGTAATCCTTCTTTTACCTTTTGTATATATACATTATAAAAGTCTATTTTTAAGGCAAAATAACTTCGTGGCTTTGCCTCACAATCACCTTTTACTTCTTTTAGCCAGGACTAGTTCTTGTTGTTTTCTTCAGTCATTTCTTACTGACTTCATCCTTTCTTTTGACATATTAAGGAATTCTTGATTACTTATAATATATATATATATGATTCTGTTTCCTGCCTACATCTCACTAAAAGTAATCTCTCTTTGCCTCTTGATTGAGAAACTTCCATTACCTACATCCATCTCCAGTTTCATCCTATCTGATTTCAGAATTTTTCCACGACATGTCTCCCTCTCAAACTTGTAGCTTCAGATCACTTTCTTTCACTGTTCATTCTTTTTCTCCTTTCTTGACCCCCTCTCTGTTCTCCCAGCCCACTAATCCCTGGAACACTGCACAGTTGGGGACCGCTCTTTCACTTGGATAGTTCCATTTAACCAGGACTCCTCCTCCCTCTGATACACTTCCTCCTTTTTAAAGGGCTGACAAACAGCCGTCCTTTTCTGAGTCTGTAACTCAGGCTTAGGATGGTGATATAATATGTAGCAGTTGGGTTATGAAAAAAGCAGGTGATTTCCAATTCTTCCTGGACCGTGCACAGTTCTGAAGGATGCATAGGCAGCGACTGAATGCCATTTTCCGTGTCAACTCAAGTATCGTTCTTTTTAATTTGTCTTTGGTCTTTGCACGATCAGACTCCATTTGCTTTTGTTTACTGTTAACAGAAGCTGCAACATTCATGCAGAAATAATCATGGACTTGGCTGATAGAACACAAGGAAGAAGAGAAAAGGAAAATAGAAAATCCCTCTGTCATTTGACTGCTCTGTCAGCATAAAAACAACTAGACCTCTTTTTAGCTTAAAGAGCAGTTTTAAAGGATACTGTAGAGTTTGTTTATTTTGGAATCATTTTTTAG